CCCCCCCGGGGGGGCTGGGTTTGTGGGGGAGGATGGGGGGGGGTGAAGTTCCCCCAATATTAAAGGGGCCAAGGTTGAGAAACACTGAGCTAAGGCTATCAGATCTGACCTGCTAAAATCCACATCTAAGCCCTTGGCTGACGTCTACTGGTCATCATTCGTAGCCCCACTCCGGTGGCCCTAAGGAAGAACATTGTTCTTGTTTGCTCTCACCTTTTGGTCTGGCTGTTTTTTTCTTTCTCTTTTCCTAGCAGTAGACGAGGGCGTGTCCACCTTGGGCTGTGTTGTAAATCAACCCCTGCTTAAGCAGAAACAGGAACAAGGAAGTGAAAAGAACTTGGCCCCATAGGCACCAAAGCAGAGTCAACGAAGGGGTTGCAGGTGACTTTTCCCACCAAGAATTCCCAACAGGTGAGGCGAGGTGGGTGGACGTGGATTCCTTCCTTTCTATCCTCAGTTGGGGAGTTTCTTTTGGAAAGTTTCTTACAAACTAAAGTGCGACTTTTTAAAGTTGGCTTTCTCAACTTCCTCGTAGTTCTCCTTCTCTAAGGAAGCCTTCTCCTTCAGACCTTCGGCAACTGTTGGAGCTTTTAAGACCTAGGAGACGAAGGTGAAACCCGGGCGGCCGCTGGGATCAAGGTAAAGGTTGAGAGAACCTCGCAGCTCAAGACAGGACCACCTTGACAAATTCATTGGTGTTGTCCACTTTGAAGGTTTTGTCTTTTTTTAAAAAAAGGAGGAATCTGCTGGCATGGGGGCTGCAGGAGGAACTAAAAACTTGGGGAAAGGCATGGTGTGTGTGTGTGTGTAATGCCTTTTGCATCATGAGTCACAGTCGTGAGGACCAGATGCTACTCCGCTGCTGTGAACCCCCCCCAAATTCACTGAAAGTAATAATTTTCGCAAGCCCCTGAAGACCCGGCTTTGCCAACAGGCAGGGGGACCTGGGAGCATGACGGGGCTAGTGCTGTGGACGTTCTGATTGTTTTGAGGAATGGGATTATGGGCTGTGAGTTTTATGTATTTTAAGGTGGCTTTTTATATGTTTTTGTATGGGTTTATTCCCCCCTTGTTTTTACATTGTTGCATTGTTCTTTTTGTGTAGGTGTGTTTATAGTTACCTGTTCGTCAACTGCCCAGACTCATAGAGATAAGACAGGCAGTTATATCCATTTGAGTAATAAATAAGTGAATAATAAAATCTAGCTGTTGCCCTGCAACTCTTATCTGTGCTGCACCTGCGATGGTATGTGGGAAAGACTTTGGGAGACGGGGTGAAGAGACGCTGCCTTGGGAAGGTCAGATAAGAGTCTGCATAGCCCGCGGCTAAGATAGCGGGTGGGGCAAGAGGCTCAGGAGGGACCCTCCCTAGTTTCTCTGGCTGTAAAGGAGACGGCAGGAGAATGATACTTTCAGACTTGCAGGATTCTGCCAATGTAGCTTTACAGCAAAATAGAATTAGCTTATCTGGTTGTGTTTCCTGCCTGGTCTACCTGGTAAGGCTGATATCAGTCTTGCAAGCCTGAAAGTACAATTCTCCCAACATCTCCTTTACAGCTCGAGAAACTAGGGAGGGTCCCTTCTGAGCCTCTTGCCCCACCTCCAGGTTACACCCTCTCTTATCTGACTGTTCCCTTGGCAGCATCTCTTTGCCCTATCTCCCAAGATCTTTCCCACATACCATCACAGCACCAGATACCACTGGGGGCTCGGGATCCCAATGTTCAGACGACAATGCTGTGTTTCAGAAAGTTGTCTGCTAGTATCATGGTATTGTGCGATGTTCTTCAATATTCTAAGCTGGACTCCATTTCCTTGTATGTGGGGGGGGAGGGGGGAAGTAAGGAAGCAGCCGCCATAAGATCTCGCAAGGTTATTCATATTATTAATTATTTATTCCCATTTATTCTAGCCACCCAATTCCAATGGACATCATAAAGTCATTATGAATTTATGGAACTTAAGCAGTAGACTATAATAATGCTATAAAAGTCACACTGGCTACAGAAGAGATATGAGAAGGCCGACTGATCTGGGATTTGTTTTGAAATGAGCAATGAGGTTCTGAAAGACTTGGGCGTGATCCTCAGGGCTCCTCCAAAAGTTGGTGTCCTGTTGCGTGCTTTAAGGTAGAAGGAAAATGCAGGATATCAACTGTACCTGATAAAATGGGAGTGATGAAGATATTTAATGAAATTAAATCAGGTCCAGAGTTTTTGGCCCGCTCACATTTCTTCTGGGTCTGCCCGTTGTTTAGCCTCCAGCTCCTTAGAGGTCAAGTGTGTTTCTTCAGCCCAGAAGATTATATACTCCTGGTGCTATTCAACTGGTATTAAGAGGGGTTCCTAGAACGCAAAAGTGAAGAACGGGGCTGCAGCAGATAGTTCTGCCTCTCCAATTTTCTGCATGTTGTGTTGTCGCCCTTGAAGATGACAGCCACACATTCTTGCTGGAGGGGGCCTTCACGTAAGACAGCGGCCTGCAGAAACTCTTCCATGTGACGTTGGCTCTATCCATGCAGATGTAGCCAGACCCTTCTCTCCCCTTGCAGTTTTATAACCTTCTTTCATCACCCCTGAACGGACTGAACTGGAATGCTTTCCTGTGAGTTGCAGAAGTGTGGCTGTGCTGATCATCTGTTTCCTCTCTTGGCAGCTGAAACTGAATTGCGGCAGGTGCACTAAGGGGTGAAATGGGGAGTCCTGGAAAATATGTTGCTGAAGAGATAAGTCAGCAGGTCAACGATGCTCTGAGCCGTCTGCAAAACAAGCAGCTGTTCCAAACTACCTGGGACATCGTGGCTTTTGCCATTTTCTTCACTTTCATTGGTAAGTGGTGGGAGGAGCGGAAGAGTTTGGATGGCAAACCGCTCTGCTCCTGATGTCGCTAACTTGGGTGGGCCTGCATGGCTCAAAAGGGTTTTGTAACTTGGGTGCTCAGAAGAATCCAGATGGCACCCTCCCAGAGGGGTGAGAAAAGAAATAGGAAGCAAGAGCAACATGGTCAGAAACCAGCTTGGTGGAGTTAAGTCAGCACAAGGTGGGTCAACGCAGGAAAAATACTTCATGGAAACCCAGGTCTTCTTGAGTTCCACACAGGAAAAGTTGCCCATAAAGCCAACTGTTTGGCCTGCACCCTTCAGTAATATCTCAGTACCTATAGTTTCTTGGTCTAGGAGAAAAGTCACCTTGGTTTCTGACTGGCCACCAACTCAGGCACTGACCCAGCCATTTCTTTCCCCATTTCAGGGATGGTTCTCCTGCTGGCCCTCCTTGCATTGATCCGCTGTTGCTGCTGCGATTGTGAGTCTTCTGGTTCATACAAGAAGGTAAGCGACTTCAACAGTTAAATGGTCTAAAGGTGCACATTGGATGGTGGAGCAGATTCAGGCCTCCAGCTTAGCAGCAAGGACATGTGTGCACGCGTGTCTTTCTCATTCTGGCAAAGCAGCTTGCTACAGAGTCAGACCTCAGGTCTATCTAACCCAGTAGAGTCTGAAAAATGAGCTTTCCATGTTTCAAAGCAGAAGCCTCTTGCATCTCCAACTGGAGATGGCAGGAATTGAGCTTGGGGGCTTCATTAAACAACACCTATCTTCTACTACAGTTTTGGCCCTTCCATTCATACAAAGAACCTTATTTCCATACAGACTGGACTACCTCTAATTTTATTGCATGTAGAACTCTCCCCTGCTTTAAATCAAAGAGCTGATCCAGTTTACAATAAACTGAAAGGAAATGGAGTGACCGGGGCCTTTCACGTTTGCCACAAAGAAAGTGGAGTGCGCTTTCCAAAATATATTGATCAGGCAAACAGCGTACATAGTTTTAGAACACGTGGCAACATTCCTTTAAAAAACTTACAGGATAGAAATGCAGAGAAATCTAGGAAAATCATTTCCTGAATGTATGAAGTTTGAACACCACTCTACTAGGAATAGTCAGCAAATTAAAGCATGGTCCTTTGAAAGCCATGAGGAACTCCAGCCTGATGCCCTAAATTAGGGATGGCAAACTGAATCCCCAGATTAAACCCCTCACCTTATTCCACCCCACCCCACCCCACCCCATCACAGTGGACAGTTGGAGTTCCAACTTCCCCAAAACTGCAGCTCACGGCGGTGGCCTTTCCTATCAAGAACAAAGGAGATGCTGCAGTACAAGGCTCGGTGTGATTCCTGGGGCTTTCATCCACTCCAGACCTCCCAGTGGGAAAGGCAAGAAGGATGAAGTTGGTCATCACCTGCTGTTTATTTCCCAGAAAGTAGGACATGGTATGATGGCCTTATGTTACAGGAAGGCACATGGTAGGAGGTTATGGAAAAGTTCTAAACAGGCAACCGTTTGAGGTGGTAGGAAGTCCTCCTTCCTTGTGTGCATTCAAGCAGAAATCGAACCACTGGTCCATCAGAGATGCTTGAGATCGGACTGGTGTACTGAGCAGAAATGAAATGCATGGACCTAAACAATCCTTTCCAATGCTAAGGTTCTGTGAGAATCCTAGTTTCACAAAGCATCCGTTTTCATGAGGTCACGGCTCTTGGTTGCAGCAACTTTGCCATAACTGTTAACATCCTGAAAGTGCATTACAAGTGCTACAAGTAGTCATCTTTTCTCCATACAGAGAGGTAAAAAGGTGAGAGAGAAGACTGGGGGGAAGTACAGTTTCAACATCAACCCAACAGTGACATTTAGAGGACCGTGGGGAACAAAATCTAGCTGTTTTTGGTCCAAACTTAGTTCCCCTTTCCTGTTCTAACCTGATTTTGCTAGATACTAATTCTGGAATTGAATTGTGGTTCAGCCTAGGAGCGAATAAAGAGAATTCCCACTGGACAAATTTGCCATTATTGTCATATAATGCTTTCATCTCCCTGACACTCTAAACATTGCTTCCATGTCTACAGATCAAGAAAAGAAAAGTTGGTATTGATAATATGGGCATGGAGCCTTAGACTTATGGGTGATCACCTGAGCAACCGTCTTTACTGATTTTTCTCTGCTATGCTGGAATTTATTATAAGAATCAGATCTCATCTTGGAGGAACTGCATGACAGGTGAGCCTCAAGAGGCTTAGATACTCAAATTATGATTCTTAGTCCATGTCGGTTTGCAATAAGCTTGGGGAGAACAATTCAACAATTCTCACCATTACCAACTATCAGCTGCTTCTGATCATTACCGACAAGAAGAGATCTAACTAGATACTTAGTCCATGAGCAATGATAATTCTCCTTTGCAAAGACATGCAAACTTGATCTTGCAATCTACCAGTTGATTCTGTCAGTGTGTGCTTTAAGAATGGAGAATAAATCACAAAGTGTCTATTTTGGCCATCTTGTTCCCATCAAATACTGACAGCAAAAAGACATAGCACTCAAGGGCTGTTGAGTATGGGCTGTTTTTATTGCCTAGAATTGATTTCTCTGTAGAAACAGGCCAGACATTGTACCACCTTTGTATGCCATTGCTGTCTTTGTAATGCTCTAAAACGTTGACCAATTCAGGACAACACTATAACCTCTTTTTCTAGAACTCCAGATTTGTTCCTTTCAATATGCTGTGATAAATGTCCTAATTCCAATGTAAAATGTAGTCTCAGATTGCTGTGAATCTTTTACTATATAGAGGCAGTTTCTGATTTGTGTTGAATAAAGTTGCATTGGCTGTAAAGTAACCGAAGAAAAGGAACTCTTTTGAAGATACCATTCAATCCAGGCTTTAGCAGATCCATCGGAGGGCGGGGAGAATCTGCTTTTTGCACATAATAAAAACACCATGTAGCATGGATAAAGAGCCTGGATCCTTTCCATTCTACAAAATGAACTTCCGTGTCATTTTGGCCCATTCAAGGATTTAGCCATCCTTGAGCAAAGAGAAATTCAATTCAATCCAATTCTCCATCTCTTCCTCTCTGTCTCTCATGCACATAACCAACCCCCTCCCCCCAAAAAGCCATGTCAAGGGTTCTCCTCCAAAGACACAAAGCCATAAACCACAATAATCAGGGATATTTATTCCACACAAGATATAGGTGCAAGGAATGATTCACATATATTTAGCAGCAACTGAACCCCTTTGTTACCAAGACCACCCTGGTATGTCCTACTGCTTGGTGGCCAGAAATGGTTCCCTGGAAGACCTGATGAATAAGCAGTGCCTCTCTGCTTATAAAAAGTAGGTGGTAACCCACCACCACATCCAAAGACGTCCCTTAACGTTTCAAAGACAATGTTATGGAAATGAACAATCACTGTGGTGCAAAAGACTAGAAAAGGGGCTGGCAGGAGTGAGAACAAAACCCAAAATATGACAAGGATTAGCCAAGGAAGGAACAGGGAGTGTCCGCCTCTTGGCTGGTTTTTCTGGCCAGAGACAAGCGTAACACAGAGGCAGCATAACCTGCAATTTGTTCCCACTCTTGTTTTTAACCCCTTTTCCCCTTCCAACGGGGTGAGGTTTGACCAGTGTTTATTGGCTCAGCCTGGCTTTGATCCCATGGAAAGAAATGTACATACTTCTAAAGTGCTAATAAATAATGACATTCTGAATACGAAGATGCCAATGCCAGCCACTGCCTCCTACCCATCAGCTACCATGGAATGGTAGAATCCAGCGATTCCTCGCAGATATAGTTTATATTGTGAGGTCTTCGCGGGAGGGGAGTGGCTGAAACTGACTGGACCGCTCTTTGCGGGAGGATCAGTAGAGTCGGTAGTTCCAGTAGCCAGAAAAGACAGCGATCTGGGAAAAACAAGAACGCAAAAGGAGATCAGAAGCGGGTGTGTGGTCGGTCACTAGCTCAAGTTCTTTAGCAGGGTCAGATCTGCAACGGGAAACTTGTCATCGGCTGATGTTCCCCAAAAAGGAAGCACTGCCTTGTTTTTGGGCAAAGGAGCCAAAGGGGTTTTTTGCTTGGGTCCAAAGGGAGCTTTTTGCTCCTCTGAGCAGACACAGTTCTGGGAAATGGTGCCACTTCTTCCAACCCTATGAAGAATCCTAATAGGACAATGATAGTGAACATGGGGGTCTCTGGCTACTTTGGACTAGACAAGGAAATGCTGGAATACAGGCCAAATAGTTTGGGGGGGGGCTTGAAGCTCTTTCTTTCTAACCCTTCTTTCCCAGCAGAGTTTTCGTCTATCTCTGCATATTTTAATCAACATCGATGGAAGGTACTGACCACTGGAGAGCTCAGTTCTAGATGGGATCATAGCTTCTTTCTTTCCAAGAGTTAATAATTAATAAGTATACGGCATTGTCTTACAGCAGGGTGTCTGCAGGGTTTGGTCAATGGTGGCTACTATGGTGCAAAGCTCCGCCTCTTTTTTATGTGCATACAGGTGGGCGTTGATCCCACAGTCACAGCCACCATCTTTTTGGACCATACCTTGCAGACCCCTTGTAATGGTATGTGGGAAAGACCTTGGGAGACTGAGCCAAGAGATGCAGCCAAGGGAACAGATAAGAGACAGCACAGCCCGCAGCTGGATAATGGGTAGGGCAAGAGGCTCAGAAGGGACCCTCCCTAGCTTCTCGGGCTGAAAGGAGATCAGGGGAGAGATCATCTTTCAGACTTGCAAGATTGATGTCGGCCTTGCGGGGTAAACCAGATAAGAATCACAACCAGATGAGCTAATTCTACTTTATTGTAAAGCTACATTAACAGAATCTTGCAAGTCTGAAAGTACAATTCTCCCCCCGTGTCCTTTACAGCCTGAGAAACTAGGGAGGGTCCCTTCTGAGCCTCTTGTCTCACCCATTATCCAGCTGCGGGCTATGCTGTCTCTTATCTGTTCCCTTGGCTGCATCTCTTGGCTCAGTCTTCCAAGGTCTTTCCCACATACCATTATACCCCTCCCTTACACCTAAGTATGACCTTTCCTCTTTCTAGGGCAGCAGTGAGGGCAACATAGGGCAACATACATGTTGATGTCTTTTTAAAATCCCACGGATCAAACTTACAAAGCTTTGCACACATTGTAGAGCGCTGACTCCTGAAGCTACACGTGTCCAATGGTTATTTCAAGGATATATAACGGGAAAGCAAGAAACTTCCTTCAACAATTTCTCCCCATTCACCTCACCTTATCCTTGAGCTGCTGGCAAAGCTGAAGGGAGACAGTGAAGAAGACGAGGGCATCGTTCAGCCAGGGCACGACGCACTCTACCTTGTGCACGTGGCTGACTTCATATCTTTGGTTACTGTACTCGCTGTGGAATGAGAAAGAAGCTGCTGCATTCGGGGAAGCGACACAGAAAAGACCCTCCTTTCTCCCATCAAGGCAAGCCCTCCAGCAAGCCACGATGGTACTTACAACATGGCCCCAGGGTTGTGTAGGATGGACCCTCCAGCTGGCCGGAAGTTCTGAAAAAGAAGAAGCGCCAGTCACAGAACCCAGTGTCTATGGATTCGGTGTTGCCTGGCAAACCTGCCTAGGCTATGCTATTGTCAGCCCCAGGAGGTAGACCAGACCAAGAAACGAACTCCACAGGAAGACGAAAACTACTTTTATTGTAGCTGGCTGTGAGAACTGAATCTTGCAAGTCAGACTGCATTGAACCTTCTCTTCCTCCTTATCGTTCAGTGAATTAGGGAGGTGTCTGTCTGAGCCGCTTCCAAGTCTTATCTGTCCGTTTTGGACTTAAAATATGTTTCAGCCCCCATCTCCCAAGTAATGGATCTTGCATATCTCCATCAAGATCATCTTCTTAAGCTACGAGAATAAGAGGTAACATTAGAAGAATCAGGAAAGAGGTCAGGACAGGAGACTTGTACCATGGTACATTGATGTACCATCAAGTCCTTTTCGACTCCTAATGACCACATAGATAGGTTTTCTCCATGGTAGGACAGGAAAAGATCTACTCAAATCCATGCCCCACGTGGGTTTCTAACTTCTATCATTCCCAGCTAGTATAGTCTTCATCAATTTCTTCTACTTCCTACTGCTAAAATGAGAAGATTGACAGCATGGGTGCTGCCTCCCACCAGTTTCTGCCCAATCAGCCAAACATTCTGCCTCTCAGTGAGAGCCAGAGTGATGAAGTGGTGAAGATGTTGGTCTGGCACCAAAGAGAGCCAAGTTCTAGTACCTGCTCAACCAGAGAAGGCTCCCTGGATGACTCTGGGCTATAACTCTCTCTCCCATTGGCTAGTCTCTCCACTTCACAAGATTTTTATTGTTGGGGGGAGGATGGAGAGAAATGGGAAATCAAGAAATAGCAAAAATGATAGTGTGGGAACGAATCCATGGTTTGCACTAAACAACAAAACAAAGAGAGCAGTAGCTGCCCAGCATGTTCAGTGACCAAAACAGAAAACCAGCTGTGTTATCTGACGTAAGTTAGTTTCATTCTGTAAGAGCCATAGTGGTGCAAAAGTGACTGCATTGGATTAGGAATGAGAAGACCCAGGTTCAGCCTTGGAAGCTCACTGGGTGTCTGAGCCAGCCACTGCCTCAGCCCAACCTGCCTCCCAGATTGTTGGGGAAAAAACAGGAGGAAGGAGCTGGTTGCCTTGAGTTCCTCAACCAAAAGGTAGGTGGAAAAAATGAAAAAGAGGGAGCCGTTTGGGCATTAAGTCCAAAATTATTTTAAGAAGAGGAGGGTTATCTGGCTACACACCACCTCCTGCTCACACCTGGGCAAGGACATGTCGGAACCCCAAGATGGTGGCCCACACAGGATCCTCTGAGCCATTCAGCCTCACTCCGTGACACAAGGCTTGACTAGAGATAAGCTTCTATGTAAGAGTGTCTGACCACAGTAAGGAAGGAAGGACGGAGGAAATCCGCCTAATCCAGAATTAGCCCCCAAAGATCAGCTACAAGCAGCTTGGTTGCAATACATTTGCAGGGACTCCAGGCTTAATTCTGAGGAATCCACCAACTGATAGAAAAAGGAACATAAAGCCTTTGATCCCTGTTTTTCAGAGAGTAAGATTATGTCTACTCCAAAGCTTTGTAAAATCCCCCTCTTATGAGCTGACTTATCAATGGAAGTTTAACCTAACTTTTTTTTTTTAATTAAAATGTAAACGGTTTGAAATTTGTTAATAACCTATTCTGGTAGCATGTCCATTCTACATCAGTGAATACAAAGAGTGTATTTACTGTCTTTCGGCAACTCAAGTAAGACCTTATCTGTGTCAGCATTTCCTATTTCATAAAGAGCAAGTGACAGAAACAACAAACTCTGGCTAGTTCATCAGAGATTAGTTAATGATCTTTCACAACTTTTGGCAATGCCGGATTGATGTCAAATGCAAAACGTTCGTGCAACTTCTTCTGAAGCTCATCCACAACTTACTTTTGACCAAGGTTCACATCACTGAAAATCTACCAGAAATGGGCCCCTTCTGTAAAGGGAAGAAGAACAGGAGGAAGAGCCGCTACCAAGGCAACGGTCAGATAAGAGAGGCTTGAGCTCGGGCCAAGAAAGTAACTTGAGAAAACATCTCAGATAAGCCTCTCTGTAGTTCAGATGAAGAAAAAGGGAGGGAGGCGGAAGCACATTCAGACTTGCAAGATTCTGTCACTAGGGCTGTTGGAATCAAAGGAGTCCTGACTTATATGGCATGGGTTTCTTAGTCTGGCCTACCAGGTAGGGCTGACCCCTTCATTGAAAACACAGCACTTCCTTCAAGCCAGAAGGTGCCTTGCCAACTCTCCCCAGAGTTTCGGTAACATAGAAGCACCAGTCTGGGGGCAGGGGACGGGGTTCTATTGTTGGGAGGAACTGACGCTGACCTCTCTAGTGGTGACAAAAGAGAGCTGCTGCTGTGAGTAGACAACGATAGCAAAGAGTCTAAGAGTGTCCTGTGATGTCCCTGCTGTTTCCATACCTTTGTGGAATTGGGCTGCAAAGGGTGCAACTGATAGACAGTTAAGCAGAGCTTATTTAGGTTGATATAGAAATTGACCAGGATATCTGAAGGCAGAGCTGGAGTGAACATTTTCTGGAGAGAGAGAGAGAGAGAGAGAGAGAGAGAGAACAAACACAGTGTATTAAATATAGTTATCCTTGGATCTATTTATTTTCTATTTATTTAAGATTATTGTATATTGTAATTTTAATTTATTTTAATTGTTCTGTAAACCGCCCAGAGTCATTTCAACGAGATGGGCGGGGACAAATTTGATATATAAATAAAAATAAATAAAATAGTGTGATTTCTATAAAAGCTTTGTAAGCCATCTTCTAGCCCAGTGTTTTTCAACCTTGGCAACTTTAAGATGTATGGACTTCAACTCCTAGAATTCCCAGCCAGCAATGCTGGCTGGGGAATTCTGGGAGTTGAAGTCCATACATTTTAAAGCTGCTGAGATTGAGAAACACTGTTCTAGCCCCATGGCAGTTGCCAATCAAAGATTTATAATGGATCTGTTTGGGCATCACACTGAGCCTGGGTTACTGGGAAATCTGTGGACGTTTGCTAGCAATACCCTCGGGGAGCTGTGCTAAGACGCTGGAGGATTACGCTGGAAAAAGCTTTGTAGAACTCTTGAAGGTGGAATTCTGGGGCTGGAAAAAGCTGGGTAACCGCCAGATATTCGTGAGCTACCGTTTTGTTCTGCGTCACTAAAGGGCTGATATAGGCAGCATTTGTTTATCACAGGCAGGAGTGTCTCCCGGGCTATGGTCATAAAAGTCAAGATGGGAGCTGTGAAGGTATGATTGAAGTGCCACTTAGTTTTAACGCAACCCACCTAAAAAAACCAGGCAGAGCTTCAACTGCACCATTGCAACTGAAAACTTGACTTTTTTGACCACACCCTGTGGATACCCCTGACTGCAGAAATAGCAACCTTGGCCCACATCCTTGGTCACCAAACCTCTTCTTTGTACGCCCCAAGCCACCTTTGACCACAGCTGCTGAAAACGGGTGGCAGAATTTCCTAGCATTTTGAGGTGGGGAACATTAAAAAAAAACCAAAAAAACTGTCCTGTAAACTGTAAAATAGACTCAATGTAAGCAGGTGGTAGCATCAAACTGGACTTGGCTGCTTAAAAAACAGGTGAATAGGGTTAGGCCCAACACCAAGAATACAACATGGACATCTCCATGAAGAAATCAAAGTCAAGCTTAACTTGAGGGAGGTTTACCTTTACCTGATGTGAAAAGCAAAACTGAACCTAAACCAAACTTTCCACAGAAACTCAATTCTCTCTCCCCCGCCCTGAAAATTTATTTATTATTTATTAAATCAATTTATATTGGAGCCTAGGCGACTCCAGGCGGCGTACAACAAAGCTAAAAAACAGTAAAATGCTTTAAAAATACATAAAACAAAATAAAACAGAGAATAAAAGGAAATTAAAAATAAGGGAGCCACCTCACTAATACCTCCGTCCCCTGGGATCCCCAGGTGTGCTGGCATAACCAAGTATTGAGGAACCTCTGGTTACACACCTCCTGTTAGCCCCATGAGGTAGACCAGACCAGGAAATCAGCTCCACAGGAAGGCTAGAACTACTTTTATTGAGATTGGCTAGAATAACAGAATCTTGCGAGTCTGATTGTGCTGGACCTCCTCCTCCTCCTCCTTATAGTCCTATGAATCAGGGAGGTCTCTACTTGAGGCACTTCTGAACATTATCTGCTGGTTGTGGACTTCAGACGTGTTTCACCCCTCGCTGCTTTGTTAATAGAGCTCACATGTCTCCATCAATGCCATCTTCCTGATTCTTTATACCTTCTTCAACTTTACCTTGACTCCCTACACACCCCAACATCAATTTTTCTCACCATCCAAAGGTTCCCCCACCCCAACTTACCGTGAGTCCACTGGCAGCGATCTCTGGTAAGCTCAGAGTGGCGGGAGTGGTGAGTCGATTCCGGGCTCTTGTCAGCTGCAGCATCACAGCATCCATCAGCTGGGGTGGAAAAAAAACAGCACACAGAGCTTTGTTTAGGTTGATCTGGAAATGTGGTTGCTCTCGGCTACACAAGGTAGCCCAGACCAGGAAATCAACTCCACATGGCGGTGAAAGCTCTTGAGATGGTCACAATAACAGAATCTTGCAAGTCTGATTGGGCTTCACCTCCTCCTCCTCCTTATACTTCAGTGAATCAGGGAGGTGTCTGCCTAAGCCAAATATTATCTCATTCCTCTAGATTTAAAAAATGTTTCAGCCCCTTTTGGTTAGGCAACAGCTCCCGCATGTCTCATCAAGGTCATCTTCCTTGCTCCTGCAGTTGCAGAGATCCGGCCATACAAGGGCAAAGGGGTTAAGACTACACTGGCTCTCAAACTGCTTTGGAACTTTCAATTATTAACGTATGCACAGCCTATTTCTTGCCTAAGAAGTCAATCAAAAATGTGTGATCTGAGTCCTATGTAGAGGTCCTTCTTATAGCAGATATTGCTATCTTGCTTCAACAAAAAAATCTGGACAATGCTGGCTGGGGAATTCTGGGAGTTGAAGTCCACACATCTTAAA